TTTATATAAAGATTTTTATATAAAGATTTGACTTATTATGCAAACGTTTTTGAAGCCATTTAAACCCAATAAAACACTCCTGCTCGTTTTTTAAATAGTACTTCAAACGTCGCGCTTCTCATGTGCCGAACGCATATTTAGAAACAATGGCTAATGAGGCATTTCAGCTGATTATCTATTGTTTTTAATGCGTTCGGCACATGAGATGCGCGACGTTTGAAACAGGCCTAAATTTTCTGAATATTTAGAAACGTTATAACATTTTGAGTAACACTTCCTTTTTCTCGACAAGTTGCAAGTATCGTCATCCGCTAGAGGATGACGCCGACTTTGTATGTTCATATCTTCGGTTCAGTGAATGCTATGAAGACAATATTAATAATCGATTAAGTGAAACAATATCAACTAATTCCTCACGATAGTTTTAGTCATTATCAACATTGTAGCGATTTATGGCCTTCGAAAGTCAGAACAAAAATATAGACTAGCTATATATACCTTTCACCAAACATAACTTCGGCCCTTTGCGACGTATCTCAGTCTTCGTAATAGTCTTGTTCGAATCATTATCAAAAACACTATTTTTAGAGTGCTATTTTCGAGCTTGTATCTTCAAATTTGCATCTTTTATTACTAGTCTAGGACCTGTATATGAGTTTGTATGCGTTTCATTTAGGACAGAATCTCAACTGTTTTAGGGTAAAATGACTATGGTGGTCAACATGGCATATGTGCCAAAACCTGAATCCGGGACAAAAGTCCTTAAAATGACCCCACCCTGAAAAGGTAGTGTCGACATAGCTCTAACGTCCGAAAAGGAAAAGCGACAACCTTTTTGAAGTGCTTATAGTGTTTAGAAGGGACGAAGGGTTGCTTTTAGGGACCGGTAATTAATTACAGGGGGGGTTGGTGGAAAATGAGGGGGTCAGATATTTTTGTGCATGAAAAAAAGGGGGGGCAAACATTTTTGTGCAATATAAATACCTGCCCCACATTACCCTGCCCTACAATAAAACCTACAGATAAAAATAGAGCAGTAGAACTGTAATAAACTCCAACACAACACCATTTACTAAACTGATTTCAACATAAACATGTACATTTGAACAGCTGTTGACTCAACAAATGGTAAAGAATATATAAATTACGGTATATGTATACAGGGCACAGTTGCCAACTCTCACAGATCCACCATCAGCATCACGTATTTTACTAAAACCTCCGCGGTGTGCTCACAGCTTGGTAATTTCTCACAGATTTCGAAAATAACCCAACTGGTTCTTAAATATGTTGGCTTTGTTGCACATTTTAAATTAACTATTAAGAGTGACTTCATTTGAGTCAAATTACATAAAACCTTTTTCTTCTGAAAAAATTCACGCCATTAAGCCAAAAATAGATAATCAAAACATTACTTCATGCAACCTCGTACTCGTGGGTATTCAACAATATGGTTTTGTATATCTAAATAAAAGCCACCAAAACTTGTGTGTATAAGGTATAGAGGGTGTATAAAAAAACGAAGTCGTCCTAAATATCCTTGTTTCTATCGTAAAATAAACTACCATAGTTTCGTTTTGTCCTCAATTTAAAGCTTGTTTTTTCATCTTTCGAATGAAGGGTTTCTTGAAAATTTTGAACTAAGGCTAATCGCAATAAAAATAATTTAGTACAAGCGCTCGTTTTTAGATGCTTCGAAATATTAATCTTCGAAGTCCCTTGGGGACTTAATTAAAGGTAGTTTGCTAAAATTTAGAACGTTGATGTTTAAAACTTTACAATCACCATTCATAATGCCAAAGCTAACAATTCCGGAAAGAACATTCATTGTTGAAAAGTATTTCGAAACAAAAAGCGTTGTTGCAGTGTTAAGACAATTTCAAATAGCTTTTCCAGGACGTAATCTTCATCGAGCGTTTGGCGTAATGTCAACAAATACCGGCTGCATGCATTGAATGGAAGAACCACCCCATAAAGTTTAAATCGAAATAAAGGAAACTCGGGAAGAAGAAGAGTTGTCTTGGATATGAGACAAAGAACGAACTTGTGGAACTTAGAAATGGAGAATTAATCTTAGTTGGGAATCTAAACTGCGACGTTAACAAACTAGCTCCTGATTCACAAACTCATAAACTGCAAACTTTATGCTCTTTATATCAATTAACTCAAGTCATTAATGAACCTACGAGAATTACGGAGACAACATCCACACTAGTGAGACTTAATACTTACAAATAAACCTGAATATATTTCGACTGTTGGTGTTTTACACCTTGGTATATCCGATCATAGCTTAGTCTATGCTGTAAGGAAATCCGAATGACCTTAATCTAGACCAACTATAAAAGAAGTCCGCGATTTCAAACACTTTTCTGAATCGCAATTCCGCGCTGATTTACTGCAGGTACCTTGGGAAACAATTTGCTACGGATTGTATGGAAATCAATTTTTTACGAAATTTGAAATAAGCATGCACCTGTACGCCAAAGGAGAACTAAAGCTAACTCGGTCCCATGGATTGAGTTTAACTATTCTGCGGGTTGCGGGCAGAAGAACGAGGGCTGCGGGCAGAAAAACGCAGGCTGCGGGCAGAAAATGCGGGCTGCGGGCAGAAAAATTAAAAAAATATTGTCAAAAGTAAAGAAAATAACAATATTATTCAAAATTTTCTGTCTTTCAGAAGTATATTCTATGTCTAATGCTATTCGTAATCATATGCATATGAATTTTTCCTTAAATTCATTCTTTTTGTAATATCATGGAATCTCAGTTTATGAGTCGTACCAGAAATTAAAACTTGTTTCTACCGGGATAACTGTACACCAATCCTAATAATAGCACTATTTTCCATCCAGCAAACTGACCTGACGTCATTTTCGGAAGATAGAAGAGGTGTGAAATGGCTATGTAACTAACACAAACCCTACCCCTACTCTAACCCCTAACCCTAACCCTAACCCTAACCCTAACCGCAACCCTAACTCTAACCCTAATCGAATTAACAAAAAAAAAACGACTTTAGAAAATCGATAGGGCGGTTTGCTGGATGGACAAAAGTGCTAACAGCCAAAATCATTGGAAAATCATAGGAAAAACCAAGAAATTGGGCTTCTGTATGACCCATTCTGTGCCCTGGTATTGATGCGCTACCGCTTATAACTTTTGGTACAACTGGCCTGAAACTTAAAATATTGATTCAGTAAGTTTAATATCAATATATTTATTGAAAAATAGCTATTATGTCAGAAAACAGCGTTTTAGTATGTCGAAATTGACAATTTGGTAGTACTAAATGGGCGAAGGCGTATTTAATTAACTATATATTGGATAACTAGGATAAGTTGCAGGAAACTGTGGGTACTATCTTCATTCTTTGTAGTTTGTCATGGATAATGTAGCCGCTTAAAATTAATAAAGCTTAAAATTGATCAAGGTCTGCATGATTTTGAAGTATGCACCCCTTGAAATCATGCATGATGCTACGGTCCTGCGTTTTCTTTCATTCATGTTTTCACACAAAAATGGATAAAAACGAAGTCAATTGACGAACGTCATGGAAATGTTTTCCTATGGACTGTGTGAACAGAGCGTCAAATGAATTTTGCTTCATTGTTATAGATGACGAGATAGTTGATAGATTCTGGACCTTTTTTCTTGATCCAAATATTTCCAAATTCAATAAAATCATATTGGTGATTTTTTCACTGATTATTTTTATGACCCTCTCCATTTATACCAAAACTATAAAAAGACCCACCCCTTTGAAGCATGTCAAAATTGGCTGATCCACCCCCAAATTCCTCCGGCCCACCCCCAGCTAAAAAATGAATGCTCCCTTATACTATTTTATAACTAAAAATGTTATTTCCTACAAATTTAGCTTTATTGTAGCTTTATTGAAAGTATAAAAAAAAACATGGAAACAGCGAATTACTATATATTGAAAATAATTATTAAACTACGATTGAAATTATCGACGTAGAATGCTATTTCGTTGTATTAAATTTCAATAGTATTAATGAGAATTTTGTTTGATATTTTAACATATTTCATGTTATTTACAAAATGTACTTTAGTTTTGAAGTTTTGCACACAATATAGTAAGTGTTAGCACAATTTGGGCAGTTTCAATAGTTTCAATTTGGGCATATATAAAAAATATATTGAGTATTTTGATAGCGTAGCCAGGCTTCACGATATAAATATTAAAAACGACTGATAAATAATCATGCATTGCGAGCACAAATAACAGAATATAACGAAAATTAAAACCAGCAAAGCTTTACCTACCTTGATCTATTTTTCTAAGGCGCTCAATTATGTAAATTTTCCGCGAACACTCAAACATTTTTCTTTGCCTTTCCTCGAGCATGAGTGATGAAATGCTCGTCGGAAAAACTCGGTATTTGTCGTATTTTACGAATTCGCCACGTGACCGGTACGCTCTACCACCGCTCACCGCGATACGAAATTTAGAGCTATATGAAAGTTGCATGCCATATATGGCATGCAACAAAAAATTAGTTAGGCCAGCAATTTGGCCCGCGCCCGCAATTGTTTTAACCCGCAGCCCGCAAAACCTAACCCGCAGCCCGCAAAATGGCTAGACCCCCATGGATTACACCTGCTATTAAACAACTAATGAGGAATAGAGATTACCATAAAAAGAAAGCCATTAGATTTAAATCATCAATTCACTGGGATAAATACAAATCCTTACGGAACAGAGTAAATAAGCAAATGCGTAAAAGCAAAATTGACTTTTATCACAAAGAGATAGGGGACTGTACATATTCAAATGATTTAAAAAAATATTGGTCCCTTATAAATTCCCTTACTGGAAGGAATAACAAATCTTCCAGTATTACAGAAATATCAGTGAATGACAACAGCATTACCGATTCTATGTTATCGCTGAATCGTTTAATGAATATTTTGTTAACATTGGCCCTAGCCCAGCTTCTGAAGCTAGTGAAGAGCCTCTTACTCAACACAATACGAATAGCTACAATAATTCCAATCCCACAACAGATACGATATTCCATTTCCATCGTATTAATGTAGAAAACATTTTTCTGGCATTAATGAACCTTAAGATAAACAAATCTACTGGCCTTGATAAAATTCCAGCCAATGTTCTCAGACTCTCTGCGGATATTATTGCCCCGTCATTAACATATATATTTAATTTATCACTTGACACTGGTATTTATGTTGATGACTGGAAACGCGCGCGAGTAATTCCAATTTACAAATCTGAAGATCGACGGAAATGTGAAAATTATAGACCAATTTCCATACTCCCCATTGTAAGTAAAGTTTTTGAGAGAGAGGTTTTTCGACAGCTTTATGGCTATCTTTCCAATAACTCATTACTTTCTAAATTCCAACCAGGGTTTAGACCTAAACACTCAACCCTGTCTGCGTTGATACAAATGTGTGATAATTTACTTAAAAACATAGAAAGTGGTCAAATAGATTGTATAGTCTTTCTTGATGTTTAATTTAAAAAGCCTTCGACTCCATAAATCATGAAATTCTGATTGATACTGAATGCGTACTTTTCGGAGTAACAGGAAACCAACTAAGATGGTTCGAATCATGCCTGAATAACAGAGTTCAACAATATCTAATAAACGGACAACTATCGAGCCCAAAAAAATAATATGCGGAGTTCCACAGGGGTCCATCCTTGGTCCTCTATTATTTTTATTATACATAAATGATATGCCTGATTCGATAAGTCACTTAACTCCTTCACTTTATGCTGATGACACGGAAATTTATGCATCTTCTAATGACTGCGCTGACCTTGTCGACAAGGTAAATATTGATCTCGAAAACATACGCAAATGGATGATACAGAATAAACTTCAAATTCACCCCAGTAAATCGAAACATATGTTCATTGGATCTCCCTATAACCTAATTAAGAAGAAAGTATCTGGTAATCCTATTTTAATTAATAATAAGCTAGTATCCAGGATTAATAAATATTCATGCCTTGGCGTGACTATGGACGAAAGTTTGTCTTGGGATAAACATATTGATTCAATCTGTTCTAAAGTTGGTGCCGGTATTGGTGCAATGAGACGCGTTAAACCTTTTGTACCACTGTCGACAACCAAAATGCTATATAATGCTATTATACAGCCTTATTTAGATTATTGCAGCCCGTTGTGGGATAATTGTGGAATTGGGCTCAAAAATAGGTTGCAAAAATACCAAAATCGTGCTGCAAGAGCAATTACTGGGGCAACTTACGATATTCCGTCATCTGAGTTACTCAATAATCTAAATTGGAAACATCTCGAAGAAAGACGAAATTATCTTAAATCTATTTTCATGTATAAAATTCTGAATGGCCACACCGCACCCAATCTTAAAGAAGCGTTTCAATTTAATAATGAAAGACATAATACTTACAATCTTAGAAATAGGGATACTGATTTAGCACCACCTATACCGAAAAAAGAATTCGGCAAGAGGTGCTTCAGTTATAATGGTGCCTTGCATTGGAATAATCTTCCCAATGAGGCAAAGATTGCTGAATCCTTAAGCTCTTTCAAATCGATATTGAAACAAAGAATGAGTTGAAATTTGCTTGTGTGTAATCGTGCAGCTAAAATCACCTGTATTTTTTTTGTTATAGTTTTGTATTTCTTGTAAATAGTTAATTATTTTGTAAATAGTTAATTTTTTGTAAATAGGTAATTTCACGCCCCTCATGGAAACCAGCCTTCCAACGGCTGTTGAGGCTAGCGTGGTTTAAATAAAGTTTTGTATGTATGTATGTATGAGGCCACGTTGAGTAAATGTGTACTTCCAACTTATTTTTGGAACGTTTAAATAAATTGTGAATTCAACACATCTACGTTTTTTAATTTTCCAATTGCACTTACTTAAATTGACACAGCTCGCCAGCAATAACTCCAAATTTTATAAAATATTCATTTATTCATTTTATCACACACATTAAAGATATACATTTACGTAGCCAGAGATAACAATAACAATAACTAGAAAATGCTGTGACAGGAGAAGAAAACAGAAACTAAATTCCAATTGATATTCGACCCCTTAACAATTGATGGATAACGAGACGTACCAGGACAATTATGCACGAACATATCACAGATTACATGCAACTTAACATATAGGATACTGTACAACGAATTTTAGAACAAAATTATCTATGGTGGTATGTAGGTTAGTAGGTAAACAGTTTGGCTTTGTAATAAGATTGTAGATGGTGCTTGAAGATCTGTAGGGAATGGGCGGCTTTGATGTTTGGTGGTAGATTGTTCCAGAGAATGACGTACGGTGCGTGGGAAATAGGATTGTCGGAAGAATTCTTGATAAAATAAAGTATATAAAATAGCCGAAAGATCGCGATTTCGAAAGAATGCAAGTATAATAGGCCGTAGGATGAGCATCCAAAAGATGCTTAGAAAACGGATTCCGTTGCACCCCTCGTGTAACTACGTAATTTTCACATGAATAAATAGATGAAAACTTACTTTATCAGAATCCGTTGCTCCCCAAGCGAAACAGGTGCACATTTGGGAGAAAAATCCCTCCAAAGTTTGATATTTTCGCGCTTCGAAATACTCGAACCGCCATTGTTTTGATAGCAAATACGCATGCGCAACTCACCCAAACTCGCATTGCGCACGCGCATAACCAACGCACATGCTTCGAAGTGGAAACACGCTCAGTTATGCAAATAAACATGGCTGAAGATATTTATAAAACTCGAATATCCTCATGTTTTATGCATTTTGATGGCGTTACGGAGCAACTTTGCAAAGTTACACGCCCAAGGCTTCAGAAATTTCTTGAGTGTAGGTCAAAATGGGCCAAACTTAAATGTCAACAAGCTGATATAGCTAAGATATCGGTACGAGAACATCGATGACGGATCTGTCAATTCAATAATTCATACATGGAGAAGAACCCTGACACCATTAACTTAGAATGGAACCATCATATGAAATGCTGGAAGAGATTTTGTGATGAAGAGAAGATCTGTAGATAACAGAGAAAAGAAGAAAAAGGAGAAGGAACTAGCTGTAAAACTGTAACTTCTACCGAAGAATCACACGTGGAAGTGGAGGCAATGGAACCAAGGCGAAAAATTACACGTTAAAATATAAAGGCCCTGGCGCCCTGCCTAAAAGAAACGCGCATGTACTCCCAGAGATATGTATTATTTGTGGAAGAGACGCCTCGTGGTTCTCACTAGACAAGGTATGGTCATTTTGATAGGTATAATACTAGCGCAATGTGCACAACATTCTCAGGTTTGGTTTTAAAATATATTGAATTGTGATCAATTAAGTTTATTTAGGGTAAAGTAGTTTCTATGCTACAAACATCCAACCTTGTTATTAGCAGATATTTAGTTTAATAATTTATTTTGTTTCACACCAGGTAACTAAGAAGAGAAGAAGAACCCCACTCATGTTGGCAGAAACAATTGATGCTGGTCTTCTACGTACAGCTGCCGAGAGAAAGAATGATCAACGAATACTCGTATAAATCCAGGGGAAAGACTGTGTAGCTCTGGAAATCCGCTATCACAAAGTTTGCTACTGCAATTATACAATATTCCTCACCAGAGAGACGAAGAAGCAACAAGAGCATCATTGTACGAGAAGTCTTATGATGTATTCTGTAAAAAAGTAATTGAGATGGAGGTCATCTGAAATAAGCAAATAAAGTATATGAAAGAATCAAGATTTGCTGGAGAAATTTGTTATCATTCCTAAGGACACTGAGAATGTGGATGCATCCAAATATAGAGCTTTTAAACTCAAGCAATGACTGATGAAAAGTTATCCCCAACGTGTGTTCTGTGTACCGAAAATGAGAAATGTTAGAGAGATTGTATTTGTGGAAAATTTGGATTCTTCTGAATTGGTTGAGGAACATATGTCAATTAAGGGCCTGTTTATATGGAAGTCGGGCTGGCCAGCTTAGCGACACAGTCCGGTAAGCGGGATGAATTTCTCTTGTGTTTATATGAGATACTTTCATCCCGCTTGCCGGGACGATTTTGTTACATTGTATTGTTTCGACAGTTGTTAAAAATAGATTGCGGCGCTATCTTTGAACTTTCATCCCGGCAACCGGACTAGCCCTCTTGTAAATGTTTATATGGAGAAATTTCCATCCCGGTAAGCGAGATCTAGCCTCTTTCAAACGAGATCTCTGCAACCGGGCCAGCCCGCTTGTCCATATAAACACACAATAACTTTTACTATAA